TGCGGGACCGAATGAGGGGACATTCAGGAGGCAAGCGGGGACAAAGGTGCAGCCGCCCCTGCCCCTGGGGGCAGTAGGATGAGGCAATCTGCGGGCACCTCTTACCTCGGCTGACGCAAGCGCAGTGCAGCCGGCGCTGCGTGCGACGACCTCCGGGGCAGGCCTGGGGGTGGGGAGGCAGCAGCTTCCCTGTGGGCAGGTGTTGGGGGAAGTCTGGCAGAGCTGAGTGGGTGAACTTGAGCGGATGAACTTGGGCGGTGGCGGGTGGGGTAGGGATGCCCCTTGTTGCTGCCAGGCACTCCAGCTAGGGGAGGGGGTGCTGGAGCGCTTGGCCAGACACTCGGCCATCCCCGAGTCCCTGCTAGGCAGGGAGAGAGCCACTCAGCTTCTCCTGTGCCAGCCCCCAGGACACACACACACATGCTAAGTGGACAGACCCTGGAGTTAACGGACCCGAGAGCTTCAGAGAGCCAGCCAGGGCTCTGTGAGAGACGGAAGACCCTGGGCCCCCACCCCTCCCTCTGCTGGGCCCGAGGGAGAGGAGACGTGGCGGAGTGGGGCTGGGCGGGGGCGAGGCAGGCAGCTCTGCCGGCTCTGCTCCTCCTTCCCAGCGTCTGTTTCAGCGGCACTAAGATTTCTTCTCACCCCTTTTCTCCCTCATCTCTCCAACCCTGTCCTCTTCCCTGTGCTTCAGACCCCGAATTCCAGTTGTCCAACAATGTCACAGCCCCCTCAGAGGCACACTAGGCACGTGCAAACCCAACCTCTGTCTCCACCTTCTACGGCAGTTTCTGCTGGGGGTGGGGCAGCTCCGGGCCAGCGAGGTTCTCTTCGAGGGCCTCCCTCCTGCCACTCCCACGGCTGTCAGTCAGGAGCCTGCCCATTCGGACCCCGTGCCTGCGTCCTCTCCCGGCGGGGACTGTTACTAGAGCCCCCTGCAGCCCCCCGTGCCTCTGGGGTGCAGCCCCCGGCCCCAGACTGGTGTTCTTGGGGGGCAGAAGTGGCCAGGGCACCGCACCACCCCCCACCCTTCCGAGTCTGACACCTGCTCTCCACGGCCCGTGAGCCTGAGCCCACCCGCCCTTCATGTCCACACCGCAGGCTCTCTGAGCACCTGCCCCGCATCCGTGGTCACTACTCAGTCTGTTTGCTCAGAAGTCTCCTCCCCGGGCCTTAGCTGCTCGCACTTGAGCACCTGCCTACTGTCCGGGAGACACACACACACAGGCCCTCCCTCCACAGGAGGTCAGCAGAGGGAACCACAGCTCACCGCCCCGTCCCAGGGGTCCCTGCACCCAGCAGAGTCCCGGTGCTTGTCGGAAGGGAGCAAGACGGGGGGCCTAGGGGGCGTGTGTCGTCTTCGTACAGACCTTGGAGCTGTGACGAGACCTCCTGGGGGAGGGGAGGCCCGGGTCCCCCGCAGCCGCTCCTCCAGGCAGCAGGGCGGCTCACCCCTTTGAAACCTGAACGTGAGAACGCGACCTGTCAGCGAGCCCCGTCTCTTTCAGTAACCTCGGGGGCAGCGCTGTCAACGAGGTGGTCCTGGAGCTGCTACGGGCCGGCCGGCCGCGGGAGGAGGTCGCCATGGAGCACGTGGAGCCCCGCCTCCGGGCTGAGCTGGCGGCGTCCCCAGGTAACCCGCCGAGGCCTCGGGGGTTAGAGTGCTTTGGAGGTGGACAGGGGACTCGGGGCCACAACACACACCAGGAAAGCTGGACTCCTTTTCTGAGAATGCTTAGAGGAGTTTGCCTGGGCCCTGCAGATACAGGTGGGGGCTGGGGGGGCCTCCAGTCAGAGGTAGTGTCCCCGCCCCTTCCGCTCTCCAGCCAAACCCTCTGCCTGGCACCCTGCCCCCCTCTCTCCAGCCTCACCGGTGCCCACACCCCAGGTTGGCCGCGGCGCGCTCTCCCCCAGAGCAGGCCCAGAATGGCAGTGAGGTCCCGACGCCCCAGACAGCCCTCCTGGGGCTGCGGTGCCAGCAGACCTTGCCCAGGCCTCAGGGTCCGGGCTGCCAGGGAGCCCCAGTGGGCTGCAGACCCCGCTCGGGCTCGCCCTGTAACTCCGGCCTTCACTGCAGACAGCGGCTTTGGCCGCAGCCGCCTGGTGAAGGAAAACCTGATCGACCTCTTCGTCCCCTTCCTGCCCCTGGAGTACCGGCACGTGAGGCTGTGCGCGCGCGACGCCTTCCTGAGCCGCGGGCTCCCGCACACGGAGGAGACGCTGGACGAGATCACCGGGACGATGGTGTACGTCCCCAAGGAGGAGCCGCGCTTCTCCGCCCAGGGGTGCAAGTCCATCGCCCAGCGCATCAGCTACTTCCTGCCTTGAGTGCCAGGCGGGCACTGCTCCAGCCGCCTTCCTTCCCCCACTGGGACCCTGCAGCCGGCGCAGTCACACCCGAGGAGTGACTATCACACCCGAGGAGCGTGTAACCGGGAGGCCTTAACTCAGCAGCCAGGGCCGCTCCTAAAACCACCTGGTGCCCTCAGCAGCCTCGTGGGGGGAAACAGCCCCCGGGGCTGTCGGCCTCACAGCTCTGGTCCGCAGGAGCTTGGACTTGGGTGGGTGAGGGTCCCCACACGGCAGGACCCTCCGCGACAGGGAAGGGGGAGGACGTTCTGCTGACCGTGGCCGGCTGGGGGCGGTGGCTTTCAGGCGGCCATTCCCAGAGGGGAGCTGGGCAGCTTGCGCCTGGGAGCAGGTCAGGGAAGAGCAAGAACAGAGTAACTTTTTGGAATCATGTCGATGCAGGCCAAGGTCGGTTCTCTGCAGCTTTTTAAAAAAACTAGGAGCCTTGACGTCACTGTGCCATGTGTAAATATTAAATTTTATATTTTTCTAAAGCTTTCAGCCTACTTTTTTAACAAGACCTAGTAATCCTGTTCACTCGGCAACATTCTAAATGCCAGGTGGTACTGATGGGGCGGGGGGTGGCTGTAGCAGGTGGAAGACGCGGCGCGTGTGGGCACTCACCGCGCTGCCGGGGGGACTGTCCCTTCACTTCAGTCCGCTTTGCTGAGCTGGGTGACTTCCACCTCGTCCAGGCAAGGCTCCCGGCCACAGCACAGCGCGCTCCCGCAGGAGAACGCCGCTCCCGCGCCCCCGGCTTCAAAAAGAGAGTCGTTGCTGAGGACTGTGTGGCGTGGCCGCGCCCACACTGTGCTCTGCACAGTTCCTTCCCGCCCCCGTCCTTCTGAGTCCCAGGGCATTCCATCTGCCCTGGCCTCAAGGGTCTCCTCTGACTGAAAGCCCTCCTCACCGCCGGCCCTGGGGCAGTGACACTTCTGTCTCCCCCATGTGACGCGCCCTCACACTCAGGGAGCACCAGGCCGGAGCCACAGCAGATCCCCAGTAAATGCCCAGATCGGTGAATTAAAGGAGCTCAGTCTCCCGCCGCTCACGGGAGCGAGTCGGCCCAACGGCACACTTCACGGTGAAGTGGGGCGTGTGTCACTGCCACAGGGGGGCGTCCAGCCTGGGGCCGCCTCTGGGCCACACGCTGAGTACACAAACACGAAAACAAATCTCAACGTTGTGAGTAAATTTAGTTTGTTCGGCTGCGTTCATAGCCTTCAGTGGACGGCCGTCTGGACATCCCTGGGGGCATCTCTGGAGGAACGTTCAGGCCACTGGAACCTATTTCGTGCCCAGCGCTAAACATACACTAAGCGGAGCATTCTACAGCTTCGGGGCTCAGCTGCCATCCTTCCAGCAGCGGCCAGCTGTGTCTGACATCGTAAGCACAGGCCCAGCCCTCCCCCACCCAGGGCCCCGAGCGCCTGCCGGGGGTGTGGCCCGGCCGGGCCCCACGGCCTGACCCCGGGAGAGCCAGCACGGCCAGTCTCACCTCGGTTTCCGCTTCTGAAAACGTGAGCACAACCCCACTTACCTCCTGGGGCTGCTGTGGGGACTGAATCGGTTACTCCAGTGCTCCGGTAGCAACAAAAACCTGGCGCAACGGTCCGTTTTGAACCATTCTCCAAGCCAGGGCTGCACCTTCCCCTTCGTTCTGGGAACCCCAGCGAGGCTGCCGGCACTGGAGAACTCACCTTGCTCCGGCCCAGCACGAGGTGGCCTTGACCTCTCTGAACCAGGTGCCAACGTTTTCACCAGGTGAAAACGAGAGCTGGGGCTCCGAGAGGGGAAGTGTCTCGGAGCGAGCCCCCAGGCTCCAGGCAGGAGTGGGGGCACCAGCCCGGACGGTCCAACCCCAGCTCCTGTGCTTCCACGCCTCGTCTCCAAAACCATCCCCAGATTCCATCCGCACACACAAAACATCTCTGCGAGCGCCACGGCCCAGCTGCGGGAAACGCCCCGGGAGCTCGGAGGGGATAAGACCACCACGGGAGGGTCGTCCCCAGAACACACCGGAGGAGGCCGGAGGCAGGAGCAGAAGGTGGCGGGAGCTCCTGCACGTGGGCGCCACCTGCGTGCAGCTCACTCGGACTGACTGAAAACACGGCTTTGAAGGGCCATGCTTTGCTTTTTTAAAAAAATTGAAGACCAAGCCAAAGAAGAGTAGAATGTTCCCTATGAGGTTCTATGATGACTTTTACTGCTGCGTTGGCTCAAACCATTTTTAGAACTTATTTGCAGTTGTCCTCGGAATGGGCTTTAAGAGAATTCAGTCTCTAAATTTACAGTCGCCTCCCACTGGACAGACGGATGGACAGACACACAGAGAGTTACCCACCTCAGGTACCAGCTGGGCTCCAGATGCCGCCTCTGGCCATTTCTGAAAGTGGGCTCCATCACAGGCTGCGTGCTCACCCCCCCGAGGGCGTTCTAGAGAACGTGCCGGGGGTGACGGCCACAGTCGGCTGCTCGCCCTCACGGGCATCTGTTTCACATGGAGGCGCGTCTGCTTAGATCCCCCCTCAGTCAGGGTGATGGTGGAGCGCTCCAATCACAAAGCCTACTTTGCCAATAAAATATTGCAACCTTTATTTAAAATAAAACACGAGTTGGCAAGCCGTGTGAGACAACAGGCAGACAGCATCCCCCTTTCAAGGGCCTCGTTTATTTACATCAAGTTTAACACTGTTAGCAGTTCACAGTCAGACAACAGGTGAATTAAATTAGGAAACGGAACACCTGAAAACAGATTACAATGACAATTAAGAACAAACACCTGACCCCAGCGGCAGCGTGACCCCCGAGAGGTGTTTTCTTTCAGTTGAGCCCCCTGCTGCTTCGCTGCGTCCCTCCCCGCCCACCGGCGCCAGGTCCCAGACCCCCCCCCTCTGGGCGCCACCATGCCCACGGGCAGAGCGCGGCCTGGGGCGGAGCGTGGGGTGAGCGTTACGACTCTGAAGCCTGCGTCCCGGACAAGATTCTGTCCTCCACCAGCACCTGGTCCAACTCATTCTTGCCAAGCGAACGTGATGCCAGGGCCCCTCCACCGACAGGCGTTCGGGCACCCGACCGCAGAGGAGGAAAGGGGGCTCCCCCCAGGACTCGGGGGTCTGAGCACGGCACACACGCCGGCCAGGGCACAGCTCGTGCCACCAACCACAGAGGACGACGCCCCTCACCCACCCCCACCTGTCTTGGTGGGCACGGCGCCAGGGTGCGTGTGGACCGTGGGCAGCCCGTGTCCCCTCTCTGCGGACCGCGGGGAGGGTTTCCACACGGGCGCGCTCAGTCACTACAAGGTGAGGACCGCGTTGTCCTTGCCAGCTTCTGAGCACTCGCGTCTCTGGAGGACAGACAGCCTAGTCGAGGTGCTTTCTCGAGGTCTCGGGAAACTCCTCTCCTGATGGAGTTCCAAAAGCAGTGGCCACAGTGAAAAGTAGCTCGTCAAAAGAGAGGAAGGCGGGCTTATCCGCCCCTTGCTGCCAGAAACATCCCTGGGCGCCCCTGCCACTCGCGGCCACGCGGAGGTGCCGCTGAACCACGCGCACAGGGTTTGGGACTGGGCACCGGTGACCGGGCAGCAACGCTGCGTCCTCACGGCCCTCTGAATCAGGAGCCCACTTGGCATACCTGTGCTACTGTTATAATTGCTGAAAATTACCCTTATATATGAGCACTTCATTAACCAGCAGTCCCATTTTCCAACTAAACCTTATGGTGCTGAAATCCATGACTTCAATCTGTCTTAAGGCTCCGAAGCCGATCGAAACAACTCCGACCCCACCAACCTCCTTCCTTCCCTGGAGCCTGCTGGCGTTGACAGCCCGTGCCCAGCACATCAAGCCCTGTGTGTGCAGCTCAGCAGCTCGGAGTGACATGTAGGGCCCAGAAATGTGCTGCTTCCAGTGCAGTGACCAACAAGGACAGACACAAGAGGGTGTGTGCAGGGTGTCTGAGGCCAGGGCAGGGGCTGGGGCTGGGCCTGGCCTTTCAACCCGCAAGGAGACGTCCTTTTGCTCGGAGGGTCTGCAGGTGTGGCGACCGGCTCCCCCACCGTCCGTGACCGCGGGTTAACGGGGCCCCCCTCCTGTGCGCGGGTCGCTCAGCAATGAGTAGGTCAAAGGCTACATTTCTTCTGAGACGTAAACAATTTCAGATTTAACTTGTACACAGGAGCAAGGAAGGGCGCGCACTAGGAGGAAGGGAAGGGTCCAGTTACGCACCCTGCCCCCGCTCACCAGGCAGGATGGAGGGAAGTGCAGCGGTCGGCCAGGTCAGCGCCCCCCGCCCCGGGGACCCCCATGTTCTCACTGACGGGGCTCTGAGCTTCTGCCTCCCATCACGCTCCTCTTTGCCAGTTCTGGGTCAACAACACGCCCCACCAACCCAGCCGACGAGTCTTCTCTACAACACACAGACCCATCTCTGCAGGCACGCCCCCTAGGAGTGACCGCTGCCCCTCACAAGCCAGCCTGGAAGCCAGATGACCGGCCCAGGCCTCCTCCCCGGGGGAGAAGCGCGGGATCTGCTCACCCTGGTCGTCACAGCGTGCGGCCTCTCCCAGGGTCCTGCGCCTTGGGTCTAGGACACTGAGTCACATCACTCTGTACACAGTATCTCAAGACAGAACATGCACCTCGGCTGGTGGCATGAAAAGCAGCAGAACCAGAGCACAGACTCATCTTTCTGGACAGGGCAGTAAACTTCACACAAGACAGGCTGGTGCTAAGCGAGTCCCTGGGGGGCTGCTCTGGAGCAGGGTGCAGCCCTGAGACCCACCCACACCTCCCAGTGATGCAGGCGGGCAGGTGGGGGCGGGCGGTAACAGGGCAGGTACCTGTAATTGTTACTCCAGGCACCACTGGCCTGCTTAAAAAAGCAAGCCTTACATTAGTTTTTGTTGTTGTTTTTCAAAGTCTGGAAATTGCAGAACTGACTCTCCCCCAAAAACACACCTATCCTGTCACCAGTGGAACAGGGTTTAGAACCAGCCAAGGCCTGCCTCCCGACTAGGCGAGGGCTAGCAGCAATTCCCCTGGGTCGCCAGGGGCCCTTGGGGCTGCCTTTCCGCCGTCCCTCCCGCGCCCACATATCTCAAACTGAGTCAGGCATTTACAAGAGAACGGGGGTCCTGGCTCGACAGACACTGAGACAGAGATGCAGACAGCTGGAGAGCATTCACAAACACGTAAGGAATGCATGCCTGGAGACCCAGCTACATGAAGAGGACGGGTCATGAGTGCTGAGGGCAGAGGCGGGCCCCAAGTTAATGCAAGCACGAGTGAACCCAGAAGCCTTCGGGAAAGAAGCTGCAGACAACCCCGCAGCCCAATGTGAGCTCCCGCAGGGTGGGGGCAGAGCCTGGCCGTGGTGACGACACCCAGTAGCATAAGTGGAAGGGGCGGGAGACGTCCGAAGGCAGCGCAGCTGAACACAGAGCGGCCGCCAACGCAGTTTACTCCCGGGCATTTCACAGTCTCGCAGGGAGCTCCGCTAGCCACTCCTCTTAGGAAAAAGGTACGCGTGGTTGATGAATGTCAAACTCATTTACAACTAGCAGGAAATCCTACAAGTAACTTCCAACACGCACTGGATCTGCAGCCGTCCGATCTCCTCCTCTCGCCCCCTGCCCCTCAAAAACAACAGGGCACCCCACGCAGGACACAGGTGAAAAAGGACACTGTCCACATCAACAGGTATGTGTCCGCTCCCGCCACATCCGGGGCGCTCGATGACGGACCTGCCGTGGACAGGTGCTCGGGACCAGGAGGGCCGCCTCCGGGAGTCGAGGTCCCTGCAAGAGCTCCCTGTTCTGGAGTGAGGACCCATTGCTATTTTTAGTGCTTATGATTAAACAAGAACGTTGGTCCCTCGTTTTCTGGGGTTATTCGCACTGAGCTACAGCTTTAGTGAAATACTTACTGTACCTGCAGGCTTCATGTTTACAAAGGCCACAGCACAGAGGGGACACGGCAGGGGGTCCGCAGTGTCAGGGCCCCCACAGGCAGAGTCTGTGTGTCCGTCAGCATGTAGCCAACTGGTTTCACTGCCAAAAGACATCACTAACACAACCTTACAGTTATAGTACATCTGATACTTTTCCTCAAAGTGCTTTCATACACACGATTTCAGTCATTCCAATGGCACAGAGTAAAGTTTTTAAGAGAAAGGAATGTAGCACTAGATTCGTTAAAACGGAAGCTGACGTTCCTCTGTCACACAGTGCGGGCTGCCGGGCATGTCCCGAAGGGCGAGCCACGCGAAGTTCTCAGTTACCGAGCTGGGGCGGGAGGGGGGATGCCCGCTCTGCGGGCGCCGCCACTGCCCCGCTCGCCAGCCCCTCGGGTCCGACGGCACCCCGAGCGCGCTCTGGAAAGCACGCGCACGGCACCGTGTGGACTGATTGTCAGTCTGAGCCACGTTTCAGCAGGGCCTCTCAAGGCAGCGGGAACGACGGAGACGCCCCCACTCTAGCCGGGGCTCTGCCACTCAGGAACTGCTGAGATAATGGGCCAGTGACTTAACCGCCCACTCTTCCCGTTTCTGAAGCTGTGAAGGGTGGGGTGTTAACAGTGTTCAGACAGTGCTGGGCGCTGGGAGCCGGGAGGGATGCTTGGAAAACAGTGGCCGAGATGTCACCCCACTGGGGATTCTGACCGATGGATGCATCAGGTTATTTCTGTTGCTTGCCTGTCTAACCACAGGGGATTCTGCTGCACATTCCTGGCTAAGACTCACTGGACTAAGTTTATCAATAATTATAGTAGTAGTTGACACGGAGTGCTCATTATGTGTCAGGCACTCAGGCTAAGCATCTTATATACATTATCATTAAATCCTTAAGACAACCCCGAGGTAGTTACTATTATCATCCCTGTTCTCCAACGAGGAAACTAAGGCTCAGGAAGGGGAAATGACTTGCCTTCTAGGCTGGCTGTGGAGTCCAAACTCTTCATCACTATCTACACTGCATCTTCAACTCAAAAGCTCCATGACCTTAGTTAAATAAATATGGGCTATGCTTTAGCAGTCATCGTATTTTATTAACTGGGCACTATTTTATTGGCCAACTTTCAACTGAATTATAAGAAAATTCTAATTTAAACCCCAAAATACAGCTGGGTAAGGGGATCCAATAAAGACCTCAATGTACAGAAGTCATCTGGAAAAAAACAACAACAGACTTCCCTTAGGGCCAATTTTTTTTAAGGCTATTATCATCTCTGAAAATCACGATGGAAGTGTGTAGGAAAATATACACATTTGATTTTTACACAAGGCCTTTTAAGAAAATACTTCATGTAAAGTATAACGAAGATTTATTATGCCACACAAAACACTGCATTTTAAGGTAAGAAATCTAAACAAATTGTATTATCTGTACACAAAAGGGTTCACGCTGTGGTAGCCAAAGGGGTGGGGGTGTGTGAGAAACTTTACAGTCTCAACATTTCACAGAAGTGTTTTGGCTCCTGCTCTCTGTTTTGCTTTTAAACCACAGTGAATTAAACTACATTTTTAGTTTCTAGAAGCAGTTTTTGCTTTGAATTCAAACTTTTAAACTTACATAAGGTTTGTTGTTGTTGTTGTTTTTAAATCTGGTCCTTTTCAAGTAGAAAAAGGAGAAAACCTACCGGCAAATTATACTTGCCTAAGTTGACAGTGCCTCTCTAACCTTCCCCCTGAGCCCTCAAGTCCTGAAGTTCCACAGTTCAAGCATCGCGTGGACGGGGGTGGGGGGCGCTGTGAAAGTCAATGCTACTGTGGACAGTGCTGCGAAAACTCAATCCATTAACTTATTGAGCACCTACTGTAGGCAAGACAGAGCCCGGTGCCGCCCCTGAGTAAGACACAGCCCCTACCCTCCAGACCATTCTTCGGCATGAAGAAACCGGGAGCATAAATACACTCAGTAGTGATCCTCCAAGGCTTATTTTCAGAGCTCTCAAGAAAAGATCCCTTGCTTAGGGAAAAAAGTAATCCCCTGAAAAACAATTATAATCCCTCACCTTGCATCCCACAATGTCAGGGATAAACTTAAAAAGCAGCATAAAATATTCTAAAGTTTTAGCTTTCCCTGCCCCACCCTTAGAAGGCTAATGGCTAAAACGCTTTCAAGTTTATGGAAGTACATGACGAACGGGAGCAGCTGAGGAGACGGGAGGGGACCGCTGGCTTTTACGGCCACGCTGACGGGAACTCGAGTCCCCCTTCCGGCCGCGGCCACGACAAGGAGACTGACCCGCACATCACCGGCCGCCTGTGCTGCATCCTCCGCAAACAGAGACCAGACCGCGGACTGGGACCTGGACCGGCAGGGAGCGCCTGGCACAGCCTCCTCCCTCCCACCCTCCCCTAGGCCTGGGCCTCCTTTCGAGCTGCCGTGGCAAGAATCAAGGCTCCCTCTTTCAGATGAAAACTAAATTCCCTCCTTGGTCGAAGAGGCCCAACTCTATCCAAAACATAGTTTTTCCCTTTTAGTATTATAGCCCAATTAATATAATCTTAACAGTTTGAAATTGCATGATTTGCTACTGAGCAAAGAAGAGAATGAAAAGCCCTTCGCCGTAACAGCCCCGCACTGAAGAGCTTCCCGGGGACGCCCTCAGCGGCCGGGCCTCCCCTTGTGTGTAAAGCACCGGGAGGACTTGTGTCACTGCCTTCACTCAACGGACTTACAGATGGGGCGGTGGCTCGACGGCGGATCAGTGACTGAGGCAGGAAGACAATTCGCTGCCCATCAGGGCTGAATTCCTATCTTCCTGATTTTCCTTTGGAAGGAAAAAATGTGTTTATTTTTTTTGTATTGGGTTCTCCTTGGGGGAGGGGTCATAAAGCTTTAAAAACAGAACTAAGTGGTAACTGGGATTAGACCTGATACTGAGAATATTAATAATATCTAACCAATTAGATTCAGCTCCCTGTGATCCTAATTAACTTCCATCATTCTAAATGAGTAGGGAAGAAACAGGACTATCTTTCAGAGGCAAAACACATTTGAGGGTTAAGTCATTAGGTTTCCAGGATCTAATTGGTGTTCCCTGGAAATGATGTGCTCCTTCGATTAAACATTCTTAAAATGATATTAAAATAAACATCAAAGACTATTCCCAATGTGATCTTTACACACAAGCACAAAGATGGGGGGCATGTGCAAGGAGAAAAGCACGTGAGAGTAACTTGGGGTGATCCATCAGAAACCCAGAGAGAGGGAGTGTGCTTCTCTGTACTTCCCACCTGGTTTGGGTCTAAGGTGCGGGCGGGGGGGGGGGAAAGGTACAGGGAAACAGCCATCGGGACCAAACCAGCTTCCCTGCTCAGTCACACACCCCTGGGCCTGGCCGTGGGCTTTCGAGGGGAGCCCCTTTGCTGGGTATTTTCGGTGACGAAGAAATAAACAGCTGCCCGAGGCCCTGACTAGCACACCAGCAGGCAGGGCACCGCACCAGGAAAGGACTCCCCTGTGAGGACCTGCCCATGACCACTAACTTCCAAGTCAACGAGGGCCAACGCCTGCCTGTGGCCAGGACTGAAGGAAGACGGCCTGCCCAGCAGGGGGCAGGGAAGGACCACTGCAGAGACCCCCGCTGCACGCACCCAGTCCGGCATCAGCCAGCAGGAAGCCCGACCCGGCCCACTCGGGAGTAACAGACTAGACTGGGGGAAATGGCTTGTTGGTCAACATGAGGGTTTAGGAGGGGGCTCTGAAACCCTGGCATTCCTTCCCTCCTGCACCAGTTCACACGCCCATGAAAACAGGTCAGCAGCATGCAGACAGGGCCGGCTCTGTAGCTCTGGCGCTCCGATCTGCAGCTCCTGCTGCCGCAGGACCTTGTGGAAGTAAGGCTGACACTGCTTCCGAAAGCCTCGAACGAAAAGAAACATCATTCGGTACCTTCACGGCTTCCCTTTCTCTGGCCCCCCAAACCTGCCGGGTGAGGCGGAGCGTCACCACCAGTGGTGGCCGCTGCAGCCCTCCCAGCCCTCCGTCAGCCCCGTCCTGTGCCCGGCCGCGGCACTGCTGGGGGCGGCCCCGCCCGACCACCTCGCACCAGTCCCGGCCAGAACGGCTGCACCGGGTCCTTCTCCGCACCACGTCCTTCACGGCACCACGCACGCCCGCTCCCTGACGCCCCGGCGCAGCTTCCGCCCCGACCACGACCGCCCGGCCTGTCCGCTTTCCCTCTCCTAGGACCTCTGCCTTCCGTTCTTTGTGAGATGAACCTGTAAACGTGAGATCTCAGAGAGCTGAGGTACTCCACATGGACACGCTCAAGCATCAGTCTTTCATTTCTCGAAAACAGGAACACAGGAAAACAAGCCCCTCCCCCGCCCCGGAATCGTGCGCGCCTGCCCGCGAGGCCGACAGTGGCTACCTCTGCACCACGTCGCTGATCTCCTGCACACACGACAGTAAGTTATTGAGGACCGGGTTGGCCCCGGGCCCGGCGGCGGCGGCCGAGGACACCTGCAGCTCCTGCAGGCTGAGCTCCAGCTTGCTCACGGCCTCCCGGAAGGCGAACTTGTTGCGCGTCTGCGGGATGCAGTCCACGTAGCCTGAGCAGTAGTCGAGCAGCTGGTGGCCGGTGTCCACCAGCTGGCTGTTGGGCACCGGTTCCGAGATCGCGCTGGACAGTAGGTCCGCACACTCCAGCAGGGCCTCCTTGCTGATCTTGTCCGCTGAGATTTTCTCGGCTGCCTGTTTGGTTTTCCTCAGAGCCACTTTCGTACCTGCCGTGCCGTTGGCCATTTTGGCTGGCGAGATGGAGGATGCGGGCAGAGGCACTTGAGGGGGAGGCACCGCAGGCCTCCCGGGTTTCCCGCCGACGGGCACTGCCCCCGGAGCTGCCTTCTTCCCCCCCTCCTGTGCTTCGGGCGCGGGCTGTGCGGCCGGCTCCTCCGCGGCGTCCGAGCACGCGGACGGGTGCGGCAGTAGTCTCATGACGGGGGGCGGGGGAGGGGCACACTTTGGTTTTACCCGTCGGGGTCGGTCTTTGTCTCCAGAGGATGTGACCTGATGCTCAGACAAGAGCTTGAATTTATTCCCCTGAGAGTCTGTGCCAATGAGCTGCACGTCGGCGGGGGTGTGCTTCAGAGTGGGGGAGATAAGGACGGGCACTTTGTGGTTGTGCGTGGTCGGGAGCGCGGCCGCGGCCTTGGCCGGGGACCAGCCTGCCTGCTCGCCGTCCTCTGGGACTCCAGCCATGCCAAGTCGCGCCCCACCATTCCTCTCCTTGCTCTTGGGGGCAGCTGCCACTCCAGCCACCCCCACCCCTGGGGAGTCCTTCTCTGTGATGGCTGGGTCCCCAGAGGGGGTTCTGAGAGGAAGAGCTGCGGCTCCTCTGGGCAAAAGTTTGGCTTTTGGTCTCTCCCTGGTTGGAGCGGCACCTTCCTCTGATTTTTTGGGAAGCGTGTCACTGGCCCTGTCCACATTCTCTTCTGGCTGAGAAGAGGCGGACACTGTCCTTTCCAGCTGGAGTTTGGACCTCTGGCAGTTCCTGGGAAGGGTCATTGCCATCCTATCCTGCTCTGGAAGCCCTGAGGACATGGAAGATGTAGAGTTTGACCTTGGAAAAGGCTTGGAAGCATCATCACTGGCTGTGGGTTTACCTGCTCGTAAGCCCAGCGTCTTTTTGATTAAGCGTGGTGTAAAGAAGCCTGTGATGCCAGACCACCCGCCCCCTGCGGTGCCGCTGCCCCCACCCCCGCCACCGTCGTCATTACAGAGGTTCCTCTGCGCAAAGCTCCCCCCATAGCACTTGGAGGGCGCCAGATTCGCCTCTTGCTGGGCAGCAGTGAAAGAGAGCCCATCAGCATGCTGTAGAGAAGCAACAGATGAGAAGTTACCCGTGAGTTCATATTTCTTGTGGGGCTGATTCTCCATTTCTCGGAAGGAGCTGCTGCGTTTGGGGGGTGTGGGGGCATTTTTCTTTTTCATGAAGGAGCTGAAGAAGCCTCCCTTCCTATCCCTGGTGAAGCATGTCTCTTTGGCATCTTCCAAGAGGCTGCTGGGTGACTTGTCTCTCTGTTTTCGAGGCAGTGCCGGGGACCCACTGGGGGCCTGTGCACTTCTAATGAACCCTGATGAGAAACGGCCAGTCAGTCATGTGGAATACAAGAAGGCACTCCGTTACACCTGAGTTATTAAGGCTGAACTGTAAGAGTTTTGTCAGCATCTATCAAACGTCAGGTGGCAGCAGGGCTCAGGGTGCTAACAGATACGTTACCGTTTCACACTGGTCAGTGCTCCGAGTGTGGTGTGGGACAGAGACGGGAGGAAACACCCTGCTGACCGTTACCTGGGCCTTCACCTCTTCTCCACAAACCACCTGGCCTCACTATCAGGTTCACTGAGGAGGCGTCTGCCAGAACCGCCCAGTGGGGAAGCACTCGGGAAGCGCGAGCTAAGGAACTGGCGTGGGAGGCAGACTGCATGCGGGTGGGCAGACCAGGACTCCTGGCCCGGGCGTGCAGAGCTGAGGATGGGCGTGGTCGGGGGAGCGGGTGCCAGCTGCGCCTGCCTCGGGGAAGACGGGCAGGGAGGAGGGCCGGGAAGCGGTGCAGGGTTCCTCGGACCAGGCCGCCCGACTCTGCCTGCCCAGCCACTCACTCATACCTGGTGCTGAACTGGAAGCAGAATTGTCCGTGGCATCTTGGGCCCCCTCGATATTCTCCTTGTTCTCCGCCTGCTTCTTCAGCGTCCGGGTCTTGGAAGGAAGTATGGGCAATCGGGGCAGGTAGGGCACGACAGATGAGGCGGCCGCGGCCCTCCCCAGCTCCTCGGCCACCTCTGTGAGGGAGACAGGGAAGGAGGCTGACACAACCAACGGCCTGGCAGAGCGACGCACACACCACTGCGAGAGAGCTGGAGAACGGGCTCCGGACACGTGTCGACGGAGTCACAGAGTGCGCACCCTTCCTGTCTGGCTGCTTGTGCTAAACGTTATGTTCACGGACTCAACCACGCTGTTACACGTGGCGGAGTTTTCTCCTCGCCCCTGCGCACTGTTGGGATGTGAGAACACACCACAGCTCACCGGTCCTCTGCCATCTGTGTCCGGTTTTCGGCTATTACGAGTACATCGCTAGGGGCATCCTGCTGCGCGGGATGGTGGGCACAGGGCGCGTACGAATTCAGCTTCTCCCTGCCAAACTGCCTCCCCCCATGGCTGTGCCGATCTACTCTCCCCGCAGCACTGTGGACAAGCTCTGGCTCCTCTGCATGCTTGCCGGTTTTGTGCTGTCGGGGTTTTCTGTGTGATTTAACTGCAGCCGCTCTGCGGCAGGCACACAGAGGGTCTCACTGTTCTACTCTGTTCTTCTCTGTTGAGGAGCGACACTGAGCATGGCCTCACCTGCCTACTCGTCACTTCGCTGTCCTCACTCACGGATCCCTGTCCGGAGGCTGAACAGAGCAGACAAAAGTCTGCAGATACCTGTATTTTCAGTTGCACCTTGCACTAAAAAGGAGGGTAGAGACAGTCCATGCAACTGAAGGAGATAAGGCCCCTGGAAAAGGGTTCACCCATCAGCGAACCTTGCTGACCAGAGCTGGCCATGGGCTCTGTGGCTTTCAATGAAGCAAAGATGTAATCTGCTATTCATTCCTACACAAAAATGAAGCCAGTAGGATTACTGAAACTGTAAAATTTTGTGACTGTACAACTTTTGGGGTAATTGTTTTTAAACATTAATATGCCCCAAGAGTGGGTACCCGGCACCTAACTCAAGCCTATGTAGTGAGATTCCTTTCACCTGCCGCTGCACACAACAGCTGTGAGGCCGACGTGACCTCAGGGTGCTGACAACTGCGTCCAAGGCCACTGGGAGGAGGATTCTGGGGACGAGACCAACACAGAAGCAAAGGAGGAGAGATACTGGGTGGGGGTGGCTTTAGGAAGGACGGACACCCAAAGCTACTTGAGTCCATGGCTTCCACTGACCCCGAGGTTAGCACCTTTCTGCTTTTCCACAGTTTGGTTGTGAGCCGGTAAATCCTCTTAATCCTTAAGAAAGCTTGAGTTAGGTTTTCTTCATTTACAAATAATAAGTGCATCCTTTTAAGGTAGGAACTGTGTCTTACCTCTGTGTCCTCAGACCTAGTATAGTCCTTGCCACAGGTTAAATTTCAATAAGATATGGGTTGAATAATGTTAAGTTTCTTATTTAGCAACTGTGAATTGAAATTAGCTTTGACAATGGCTAAGGGCTGACTTTGTAAGAGAACATACCATTTTCAAGAGAAGTATTGAAGGATTCAACAGAAGCTAAAAGCTGACACAGAGAAAGTGCCCGAGAAAGGCACCCTACTGTTCGGCCCGATAACCATGACTCCCGCCACCATGACTCCCGCCACCCCGACACCGCAGGACGGAGGCGCGCAGAGCACGGAAGGTTCTGTGACAGGCGGCTGCTGGTCTTCCCCCGTCCTCTCCCCTAGACATGACAACGCAGCACGAAGGGAAGCTGCAAAAATCAAGAAGTTGCTCACTTCTTCTTCCAGTATTTTTAAACTTGAACTTAAGCAATAAGTTCTGTGTTCAATTAGGAAAGGAAAAATTTTAAAAATATTTATAAAATTCTGGAACTATATCAAAGTGTCTAGTAGGCAAGTATATATAACCAAGATGTTGTGTTTTTAGCTCTCTAGAAAGAGTCTCTCTTCATAACAAGTTTATTGCTTGCCTTTTGCAGGTATTTTTGCGATAACTTTAGAGAGGCGTTGTACACAAACGTAGGAAACGGCCTGTACATGTTCATACCCTCGTTTTTCAGATAAGAAGAGGGGTCTCACTGTTCACAGCATAACTTAACATGCTCACGTTAAACTGCTTTGTCAATATATTTAAGAATATCATTTTAGATATTTAATTATACAGATATAATTAACATCCCACTAGATATTTAAATTGTTCTTAATTTTTTCAATATTATAAACTGTATTGTAATAGAACAACCTTGTAGCTAAATCTTTGTTTACACCCTTAATTATTTCCTTAAGATCTACACCCAGAAATAAGCTTCTGGATATTGCTTTTACAACTCAGTTCTGCCTCTGTAGGTGTGGTTCAAAGAGCCGGAACATTTTTCACGCTCGTTTCTCTCCCTCTTCTCTTCCCTATGTGTTAATGCTTAAAGAACTACTGGACTTGTTCTCTTTATGAAGAGACTGATTTTATAATTAAAATATAATTTCAGTATTAAACACCAAAGATATGATAGAAAGAGAGAGAAATTAAAAATAGAAAAGAAAAAGAAGCAACACAAGAATGATGAAGGCCCAAATTCACTGAAATGCATCCTGAAATGCATTCCCCAGCCACAAGAGGCCGTCGTTTTCAAAACGTCATCGCCACCCACACGCAGAGGCAGCCGCCGACAGCAAACCGCCAGGTTCTCACCTTCAGAGATGCTGGAGTCGTGGAACATGGTTTCAAAAGCCTGATGTGTTTCCGCGAACGAGGGCCTGTCGGCGGGGCTCCATTTCCAGCCTAGGTGACGAGAGGATGAAATGTAGAACACTCCCTGCAGACATCACAAACCCAGGGGCCCCCTGAGAGTGAGTCCCCACACTGCAACGTGTGCTCGTGCGGGCAGAGTGACAGCACGCTCACAAGGACAGTGGGGCGGCTGCCTCCAAGCGTGACTCGGAGGGTCGTGAACCCACTTCCTCGGTCGGGCTCTCCTACGCAGCCTCAGCTCCTATTCCCTCTACTACGGGGATGAGGAGGGGTGCAGAGGTAGTTTAGAACATGGCAAGTTCTCTTCCTCTGGAAAAATAAAAGGAGTTATACTTCTCTTCAAACTTACTCTAACCTTAGAAGTCACGAGCTGCACATATGCAGAAATAAAACAGGCTATAAGAAAGAAGGAGCTTGGGAGTTCATTTTTTGGCAAAGACAGGGCAGTAGGTGATGCCCATGCTCAATGAGAAAATAAGATTTACACTTAAAAACAAATGCAACTTAATTCACTATCACCTTCCTACTTTCCCTATCTTCAAGAAGTCAGAGGCTCTGTTTACTCAACACAGAGGTAACTTTCAAATGTTCTCCCTACTCATTAGCAATCATTTTTTATCTAGTTGAAAGTAGTCCTCCCCACTATACTCCACACCCAATTTCGTATCATCCTGTTACATGTGCAAATGACTCTGAGAAACTGACTCCCTGTTCCGGCCCTAGACAACAACTCTCAGGATCTCAGTGAGACTCCCGGGCACGGCGCATGACACACCGACTGGCTGGGCAGAGGCCAGCTCTTCCTATGCCATGAGGTTCGAGCCAATCTAACCACACGGGAGGGGGAATGTTTCCAACTTGGCTAATCACCCTTAATTGCTCGCTCACACCTTTATGAAAATATGCAAAAATACGCACATGCTCTCATAAGTTCGTAAACCTTGGGGGGGCATCCTTCAGGCTGCTCCATTCGGTACCCCTTTTCCAGCAGATCGTAGACCTGAGACAGGTCAATGCCTGGGTACGGTGACATTCCGTATGTAGCGATTTCCCACAACAGCACCCCAAAGGCTGCAAAAGGGATGACAAAAAGGAGCTTAATGTTTTGTCTCTGAATCATTACTTATTTTATACCATTAGGTAATTATCTTTCAAATACTGGGTAACAGTTACCCGCATTATATCTTCTAAGTCTTATAGTATGCCTTGTCCTTCTAAGAGATCTGTTCCAGGAACACTTCGGATATGTCAAGATGGTTTTCTTTATATTTCCCATCTTTTATTTAGATGTCCTTTATTACAATGAAGGAGAATAAATTATGACCATACATGAAGCCTGGGGCATAGTCAAACTATTCTGAGAATAATCTATGATCTATTTAATGAGTTTCACAGTTTTATATCTCAGCAAACAGTAGAGGAGGAAATACAAAACATGAACTCATTTAAAGCTCACCCTAGAAAAAAGAACTTGCTCAATTTTGTCACAGGTTATTTCTGAGTTTGAGATTTTTGGTAAAGAGTGACTCAGAATCCTACAACTATTTCCACTGGCCCACCACCCAACTTTTCAGATTGGTTCAGTCCATGAGCCTCCACTAAATCACACAGGTGTTCGTGGCAGCAGAAGCTAGGTCAGCTGCCGGGATGCACTCCAGGTGAGACTCCAGCAGCCTTCCTGGAGCAGAGGAGGCTGCCCCGTGCGCCCCAGTGCTCTGGAAACGAGCACCGACACCTTGTGTGGAAAACGGGGCACTTCACGGAGAGGGGGTTGTTAGGAGAGGGGGTCGTTAGAAGACCGGTGCAGGATGAGACCTAGTCTGCGAACTCTTTGAAGCAGGGGCTTTATTCATTTGTTACTTTCTTCTTTGCACGTCCTCCTATGCTGTGTGCCTAGCTAGCTTCAATGCCTGGTAGATAGTAGGTATTTCATAAAAAATTGAGGGGATTGGGGGTAGAGACAGAGGATACTGGCCATGTAATAGAGAAGCTCTGGAGAGTGAAGAGCATTTACAAAGAAAATGAGGCAACACGTGCAGGAAGAAGCCCCTCCCAACCTCACCCCAGACGTCAGATTTGATGGAGAAGGTATTGTAGGCAAGGCTCTCCGGGGCTGTCCATTTAATAGGGAACTTGGCTCCAGCGTGAGCGGTGTAGGTGTCTCCAGTCATCAGTCGACTCAGGCCGAAGTCAGCCACTTTGACCACGTGGTTCTCCCCCACTAGGCAGTTCCGAGCGGCAAGATCTCTGTGGGGAAGAGACCCTGGTGTGACTCCATCTGGACAGTGAGGAAAGTGACTGTACATGCTCTCGTCTTGGTTCTCTGTGCTACATGCAGAGTTCATAGGTTAAGTGCTGACAGATATGGTACTATTTTATGACAATCACTAACATGGTAGAAAGACACTAATTATGTATCACTTGTACGCATCTAGAGGCAATTACATGATGCCTGAATAAAGCAGGCTTCAGAAAACGGGTTCCTATTCATGAGCACAGTTGACCCTTGAACAATGCAGGGCTTATGGGTTCCAACCCCACCCAGCCCATGCCCCTGCAGCCAGAAACACGTGTGTAACTTTTGGCTCCCCCAAAACTTAACTACTAATAGCCTACCGCTGACTGGAAGCCTTACCCTTAACAATCAACTAACACGTCTCTTTTACGTTATATATATTATGTATTGTGTTCTTACAATAAAGTAAGCTAGAGAAAATGATATTAAGAAAATTGTAAGGAAGGGAAAATACATATACAGCATTGTATTTATGAAAAAAATCTCTGTACAAGCAGATCCTCTCAGTTTGAACCTGTGCTGCTCACGGGTCACCCGCACACGGGGACAGGTTGCAGAGGGAGTGACAGACACCAACGCTTCCTCCAAGGTTTCAGGTCTTTACCAAGACAGAAAGCTGTTCTTTAAACTAACCACTAAATGAAGCAAAAGGCTACTGAATACAGTCCTGGGCCAAATAAAGAACCTTTTGTTTTGAGAAGAGCACGGGCCCTTCATTAATACTGTGATCAGAGTACATAGGTTTGTAAGCTGGAAATGACATCATCATGGGCCCTGTGAAGGGGAAAATGACTTTGCGGAACCGTCTGAAGATTTCTGAGACGTTCTCACATTCCTCCCTTCGTTTGCACGACAAGCAAGGTGGCCTCGCAGTTAGTCGTCGCCATCACCAGGTGCCACCCACCTGTGGATGAAGTTCTTCTTCTCCAAGTACTCCATGGCGGAAGAGATCTGCGTGGCCATGTAGAGCAGCACGACGGCCGTCACCTCCTCTCGGCTGCACTCCCGGAGGTAATCCAGCAGGTTCCCATACGGCATGTACTCCGTGACGATGTAAAACGGAGGCTCCAGAGTGCACACACCTGGCAGTCCAAGAACACAGCGTGCTTTACCACCATACATCCAAACACTCCAGACCACTCTGGCAAAAACAACCGACACCCTTCGAAATCTAACTGGGCAGTAATCTTTTCCCTTCCTGCCATCACACTCTCTGAAAATAATGCAGCAAGTGAAGAAGATGGTTAATAAGGGAGTCCCTACTTCCATTAGGTATTTTTGGGAATCCATATGCACTCGAGTATTTGCTGTTTGGGCAAAGGCAGAGTCACTTGAATTAATTCCATAAAGACTCAGGAAGACCAAAATTTCAAGAGTTCTCTATTATATGCCTATGATTTCTCCTTCCCAACTACACGCTAACGATGCTTATCTGAAAGTAACCGCAACTGTGCATATGCTGACTGTGAGCTCAGCCTGTAACCACGCTTTGCAAAAAGATTATAATTGTTTCCATAGTCAAAGTCCCTGTAAAGACCAACCAGAAATTATTTCCTTCGGGACAGCTGGGCTCAGTTTGAACACCCACAGAAAGTGGCCCTACTTGAAAAGGGCGAAGGGTGCAGACACTGGCTTCTTGGCGGCCGAACAGCTGAGAAGCCAGCCTACCAGAGCGCAGCATTTCCTGCCCGCGGGGTGAACCCACAGTGTGGTCACAATGTGTGATGTGCTTCTTGTCAACAGCTCTTTGTTTCATGTCTCTCTATTTTGTGAAAGGTTTTGATTTGTAATCACGTTGAATAATCCTGAACTTTGAATCTGGGGCAATTACCACAAAGTGGGCCATTTTATACATGGCAATCAATCCAGGCCAATGTTTCTTGGGCAACTTTTAAACACAGAGCTTGCTAATTAAAGCAACAGCCACTTACTGAAGTCAATTCACACTTAGAGCTTTTACTACAGTGATTCAGAGGAGGACCTGGAGGTAACAGAGTTGGGGACAAGCGTCTTTGGGGAACCTGTGGTTCAGGCAAGATTCCTCACCTAATAGTTGCACCAGATTAGGATGCTTGATTTCCTTCATCACTGCAGCTTCCTTCAGGAACTCCTCCACCTCCATGGTATCTTCCTGGAAAGGGGGAAGAAAAAAAAGGAAAAAAGAGGGACAAACCCCCATCTTAACCATTTGAGTCAACTCACAATCATAAAGCTTTAAATGGGGGCATCTTTTTCACTCATATGTGGAATCTAATGAACTAACAAGCAAAACAGAGACAGACTCAGAGAGAGCAGGCTGACAGCTATGGGGCAGGGAGGCTGGGGAGTTAAGGGATTGAGCAAAAAGAAAAAAAACCTCACAGACATGGACAACAGTATAGTGACTGCAGAGAGGGTGGGGGAAGGGCTGGGGGGTAACTGGTGATGACAGAGGCTTGACAGGGGGTGGTACACACCGTACAGGGTACAGATGATGTGCTGGAGAACTGTTCACCTGTGACCTGCAGAATTTTGTTACCCGGTGTCAGCACAATAAATTCAGTACAAAGGAAAAAAGTGGTGCAGGGAGGGACAAGGGAGAGAAAAAGAGATTGAAAAGTGAGGTCGACAATATTTAAAACAGTCTCACTAACCACCAATTCATTGAGTTTTAATGTCCCATCTAAGCTCCTGCCATGACTGCGATATACATGCCCCTTCATTAACTCTGATTTTAAAAATGGGGGGACACCTTCTGAATATTTTAACACATATGTTAAGAAATTTTATCATAACCTAGTATATTCTACAGAAGTCCAATTAGGAAAGAAAAATGTCGCCCTGGCTGGTGTGGCTCAGTGCATTGAGCACCAACCTATAAACTGGAAGGTCACAGGTTTGATTCATGGTCAGGGCTCAGGCCTGGGTTGTGGGCCAGGTCCTCAGTAGGGGTTGTGCGAGAGGCAACTACACATTGATGTTTCTCTCCTTCTCTTTCTCCCTCCCTTCCCCTCTTTCTAAAAAGAAAGAAAGAAAATCTTTAAAAAAATGTCCTTAAATTTATCCAATATTTGAAACAAGTAAAACTTAGCAGGGTGAGCAAAATTCAGTCATCACATCTTATCACAACTGAAACACACACTGCGACTTGAATAACTCAGTTGTTATTTTACTTCCTGAGCTATCTCAGCTTGGAAAAAGAAGACAGAGCAGTTAGCTGTTTACACGTTTGTCTTCTTGACAAATTCCCTCGGAAGCACGGCGTGTTTGCAAGGCCTCAAATACTGTTTCACACTCGAATATGCTTAATAAATGCTTGCTAGAGAAAACGGACCAGGACTCGCAGCTGCAGAGCAGCCCTTACAAGCGATACGGCCGAGCCAGAGGCACGCAGGAGAACCTGCACAGAACAGGATAGGTGACAAGCCTGTATTTTGATACCGGGATGCTTAAAGAGAGCATGGCGTCAGGAAAAAAATTTCTGTGAATATTGAGAACAAGAAGTGGCCTACCGTCATGAAGACAGGGGAGCAAGAGGCGAAGGGGAGGGAGAGAAGACGAGGGAGAGAGGAGAGAGAAGGGAGGGGAGGAGAGAAGGGAGGGGAGGGGAGGAGAGACGGGGAGGGAGAAGAGAGGAGAGACAGACGACGGACCTTCCCTGCACGTGGGCTCTGCTGCACTGCAGTGACTAGCCTGCCCCTGCACTGTCAGCCACGGCGCGAGGGCTGATCACCACAATTTGCTGATGTGCTTGGCACCAGTGGGTGGCAAGTGTTCCAAAGCTAAAGAAGGGCGCGCTGGTATCTTCAAGTGATTCAGCACAAAAGAAAAAGATGCCTGAAAACTGTAATTTTCAGCAACCCACCTTCAATGTTTTCACGGCAACTGTCAAGCTGTATTTCTTCCAGACGCCGACGTAAACCTCTCCATACTGACCACCCCCAAGTTTGTGCTTCATGGTGATATCTGTTCGCTCCATCTCCCATTTGTCATGGATGGGGGACACGCCGTAAACCGTAGGCTTGTTACACTTGGGTGCGGGGTAGTGCAATGTCGTCACCAGCCCATCAGCCACTGTGGAGTGATGGTGGACCAGCTCGGCCAAGGTGCTGAAGCGGCTCTCGGTGGTCACGTACACCTGGCGAGAAAGGCGGGAGAGAAGCTAAACCAACTGGAAAAGAGATCAGAAAGTCTTTTTGTAAAAGCCCATCACTTCGCTGGTCTGAGATACAGCTAGGATGCCAGTGAAAGAGAGATGATGATGGTGGGGAACACACACAACTTCATTCCGTTCACTTCAGCCTCTTTCCCCATGCTTCCCGAATTTGCTCTGGTCTTGGGGAGAAACTTCCAAGATAGCTCTCTGGATCATCAAGATCACTGCACCTCAAACACTTTTTAAAGCATGAAGACTGTGGAACCCAAATACATTAGACGAATAAAGGAAGAGATTCTCTGGTTAAAGTAGGCAAGAGGGAACCTGGCCTCTTGTGGGTTTATCAAATACCCCTGCAGAATCTTGCACAGAACATAACTTGAAAACCACTGATTTAGATTTTGGGAGGTAGAGCGAGGGTATTCAAATCTTATAATTTTTACTTCATTAGGATGTGCTTTTCAGAGATTCCGTTAACAAAACAGTAGTTAATTTGCGATAGGCAGTAAGTGTAAAGTAAGATAGCAGTCTTTGGGTCTTATCTACCAAGGGAGCTTATTTATTTTTTTAAAAAAGAAGTTTTATTGTGTACAGCGAAGTATACGATGCATAAATGGAGAATTGCTGATTTGTATAAAAACAAAACGGACTCGCCCAGGCTAGCACCTCCACCCCGAGAACTGTGACCTCCCAGCGCCCAGCTGCTCCACACCTGCCCTCCCAGCCAGCCCCCCTGCAAAGGGGCCGCGCTGCCGCCCGCGCAGACCTCGGACGGCTGCGCCTGCTTCTGAGCTCCATGCGAACGGAGCATCCAGTGCGTGTCGTTTTGTGTCTGCTTTCCCTCACGCCACTTTCCCCCAAGTTTATTGGAACCCGCTAAGTGATGATTTTAAAAGCAGAGTTTTCATCAAATTAACACTTAATTCAGGGCAAAAATACATTAAACTGGACCACTCAACTTTTTTTTACTGTGATGCAATCCAGACACCATAGAACTCACCATTTTCAAGTGTAAACTCAGCAGTGTCAGTACATTCACTGGGCCGTCCGACCATCAGCCCCGTCTAACTCTGGAACCTTTTCGTCACCCCACAAAGAAAGCCCGTCCCCGCAGCGGTCATTCCCACGCCCCCACCCCCGCAAATGCGAACCGCTTTCATGCAGCTTGATGTGTGCGAGAGTCAGGTGTGGCAGGGACCAGCACACTTCTCTGTAAAGGGCCGGAGAGTAAACACTTCAGGCTTGTGGCCACTGCATACCTGTTGCTACTACTCAAATGTGCTGTAATGATGAGAAAGCAGCCGTAGACAATACACAAACGGGTGTGGTACATTCCATACATTTTTATTTACAAAAGCAGGCAGCTGCAGGGCCATCGTTTTCCTGATGTGTGTAATATCAGTACTGTGTTCCTCTCTGTTGTTGTACGAGACTGAATGTTATAAATATACTACAACTTATTAATTCAGTCTACTAGTGCTAGACAGTTGAGAGTTTCTAGTTTGGGGCCATTACAACTAAAGCTTCTCTGGACATTCCCGTGCATGCCCCCTGCACACATGTGCACTCACTCCTGTCGGGTATATAAGCAGAAGTGGAGCTGCTGGGTCTCTCCCACATTATCCCTCACCTCATTCTATTTGGTTTTGTCAAGAGACAATATGGGACACTTCCAGTCAAGACGGTGGTGTAGGTAAGCACAGCCCACCACCTCACAAACCACATCAAAAATACAACTAAACACCAGCATTCAGAACCATCAGAAACTGAGTTGAATGGATGTCCTACAATTACAGAATTACAGAAGAAACCACATCAAGGCTGGTAGGTGGCGTGAAGACACAGAATGGGCTGGCCCCACACCCACGTGTGACAGATAAAAACTGGGGGAGACATCTCAGGAGCAAGGGGTCTCAGCCCCACACCAGTCCCCAGCCCAGGGTTCCAGTGCCAGGAAGATAAGTCTCTATAGCTTCTGGCTGTAATAACCAGCGGGGACTGAGACTGTGGAAGACAGAAACAGCTGGAATCCCAGGCAGTTCCTCTTAAAGGGCCTGCACACAGACTCACCCGCACTCCCTCCCTCTGAGCTCCAGCGCCAGGGCAGCAAACTGAAAGGCACCACAGACATATGGGGAGGTGATGAAGTGTGTGGCATCAGGGTGAGAGTTGGGGGCAGCCTTCTTGCAGGCAGAATTGCTGGCAGAGACCCATTTATCTTTTCTGAGCCCTCCCTCGACAGAGCCACACAGCCATATGTGGGATTCCATCAACCTGGCTCACACTGTTGCCCCCACCCTGGTGACTCCCTCAGGCCCTGCCCCACCCAACTTTCAGACCCACCCAAGCTGTTTCTAGTGGCTTTTCTGTATGAATAGTATGCCTTGACCTATGCTTCAGATGTCCCTAAATTCTCTCAAACAAGAAACATCTGGCTTCAGTGAGCCCCATAACTCTCTTTAGGGTGCCCCGGGCTTGGCACTAGCAGCAGCTGGCCTTGGTTCAAAACTTGGCCTCTCCTGGGCACCTTCCTCCAAACCCAGCGCAAATAGCAGCCGTCTGCAGATCACTTTGTAGCCAGCAGTGTGTGACCCTGGGCAGAACACAAGCGGTGGCTGACCTTGCATGTGCCAACAGCGATCAAGGCTCAACTACAAGAGGAGGATGTACACAGCCCACACAGTGGGCACACCTTGAGTACCCAGCTTGAGTGACAGGGGAGGTGGTACCAATGGACCCCACAGGACACCCCCCACAATAAGCCACTCTATCAAGCCTGGGAGACGTAGTAGCGCTACCTAATACACAGAAACAAGCACAGGGAGGCTGCCAACGTGAGGAGACAGAAGCATGGCCCAAATGTAAGAACAGAACAGAACTCCACAAAGCAGCTAAACAAAATAGAGAAGAGTGATCTATCAGATGCAGAGTTCAGAACACTGGTTATAAGGATGCTCAAGGAACTTAAGTGAGGACCTAAAAGCATTAAAAAAAATCCAGTCAGAAATGAAGGACACACTAATTGAAATAAAGGACAATCTACAAGGGAATCAACAATAGAGTGGATGAGGCTGAGAATCGAATCAGCAATTTGGAACATAAGGAAGCGAAAATACAACCAGTAAGAGCAAGAAGAAAAAGGAATCCAAAAAAATGAGGGTAGTGAAAGGAGCCTCTGGGACAACTTCAAGCACTCCAACACTCACATTACAGGGGTGCTGAAAGGAAAAAAGAACGAGACAGTGGATACTTATTTGAAAAAATAATGAAAGGCCCTGGCTGGTGTAGCTCAGTGGACTGAGCGCGGGCTGTGAACCAAAGGGTCGCCAGTTTGATTCCCAGTCAGGGCGCATGCCTGGGCTGTGGGCCAGGTCCCCAGTGGGGGCCAAGTGAGAGACAACCACACACTCATGTTTCTCCCTCTCTTTCCCTCCCTCTAAATAAATAAATAAAATCTTTTTTTTTTTAAGCTAGTGTTCTATACCTTAAAAAAAAAAAAGGAAAGAAAAATTCCCTAACTTGGTGAAGGAAATAAAACATACAAGTACAGGAAGCACACAGAGTCCCAAAAAAGAAGGACCCAAAGAGGCTCACACACACTCATAATTAAAGTGCCACAGGTTAAAGAAAAAGAGAGAACCTTAAAAGCAGCAAAAGTAAAGCTATTAGTTACCTACAGGGGAGACCCCATAATACTGCTGATTTCTCAAAAGAAACTTTGCAGGCTAGTAAGGATCAGCAAGAAATATTCAAAGTGATGAAAAGCAAGGATCAACAACCACGATTACTCTACCCAGCAAAAGCACCATTTAGAATAGAAGGACAAGTAAAAAGCTTCCCTGATAGGAAGAAGGCTAAAGGAGTTCACCACCACCAACCAGTATTATATGAAATGTTAAAGGGTCTTTAAGGAGATCAAAAATATGAACAATAAAATGGCAATAAATACATATCTATCAACAATTGAGTCTAAAAAAAATAAACAAGCGGAACAGAAACAGAATGACGGATACAAAGAATGTTGTGATAGTTGCCAGACAGGAGGGGAGATGCGGCCACGGGTGGAAAAGGCGAGGGGAGTGAGAAGCACAAGCTGGAAGTCACAGACTAGTCACAGGGGTGTGAAGTACAGCACAGGGAACAGAGCCGCCAAAGAACATGCATGCGGGGCCCGTGGACATGGACAGCAGTGTGGGGATGGAGGGAGCGGGGAGAGTGGGTGGAAGGGACACGGGGGGAAACCGGGACAACTACAATAGCATAAACAACCAAATATAACTTCAGAGACGATATGTCTAAAGGTGGAGCAAAAGAGAATTCATAATTTTCTTATTTCTTATTTTGTACCAGCCATTCTGTTTTACGGAAGTTATTGCATTTAAACCTCACAAGGATCCAATAAAGTAGGATGGGAAACTGAGGCTTATGTAAGGCCCCAAAACTATAAAAAATGGTGGAGTTACACTGCAAACCAGGCCTGCCTGCTCCAAAGTCTGAGCTTTCCCTCTACTGTGCATACCACAGCGAGGAAAGAATGGAAGAAATGATTCGATCTACATTTACTGTTCACCTGAAGTCCTGGTGTAAGCCCATGCTTTATAGTTTATAAAGTGAAACAGTTCCAATCTAACACAACCACTCAAAACTGACTGGTCTTTGCAACACGTGAACTGCTAAATGACTCATCTATTTACACTGACAAATATCAATGACCAGTACTCATCTTCCAGCCTAAATTCTTACTCTGTGAACTTTCTGGTGGAGATTATTATAATTTTCAGATACAGGGTTTAATTTATAAATTCTTTACAACGTATTAGATGTATATTTGTTTGTTTGTTTATATGTTAACAATTAGAACAGCCAACTTACCCAGCAATTTCCTTCACTGTTCTTCTTCACATCTAGCTCATCATTAAACCATTAATATAATAGTGTTTTATTTTAAATTTATTTTTAAAAAGATTTTATTTATTTATTTTAGAGAGAGGAGAAGGGAGGGCGAGATACATCAAATAGCTGTCTCTCGTATGTATCCCCACCAGGGACCGATTTCGCAGCCCAGGCATGTGCCCTGCCTGGGACTTGAACCGGCGACCTTTCATTCTGTGGGACAGCACCCAACCAACTGAGCCACACCAGCCGGGGCTATAATACAGGGCTGTTTTAGGTTTCCACTACCGTATTCTTCTGAAAAGAGTAAGTTCCCTTTAACATGACAAACAGCTCAAACTCACGTCCGTGATTATTTTCTTTCCCGTCAGACACAAAAACTGCATCCTTCGCTCATTCGGAGTGTATTTGCTAAATAAAGCGCACCAGCCCGCCCGGGGGCCGGCCGCCAGGCTTACCTTGCCGTCTGCGGTGGTGTTGATCCTGTAGTGGTACACGCGCCCCTCGTACCTGAGCGAGATGGACAGCTGCCCGGGGCTGCTCTCGCTCTCCCGCACCAGGAAGCTGCCGTTGATCAAGCTGCTGAGCAGGTACTCGGCGGCGCTGCGCGACACCGGCCCGTGGTACCAGGAGTGCTTCTCCAGGCTGTTCACCGGGGTGATGTAGTTGCTTGGCACCCAGCCCTGGCCGTTCTTAGAGCGCACTTCACTCCACTCCCCATTCTGGTTGTAACCAAGGACCCGGAGCTTTTCGCCTAGCCATGAAAGTCATCACAGAATGAACGAGAGGATGTTAGGACTTTATCTCAAATGAAAGCAGTCTATTTGTCAAACTTTAAACTCACTGAAAAATGAATCAGGAACTTTCATATCAACCAATTTTTCTTAGTGAAAACAAACCTGACTTTTCATCACATCCTCACTGATCTCAGCTTGTACCTTAAACCAAAGCAGCACAGCTAGAAGGGGCATTCTGGCATTTACTATATACAGGTTTTAAGAGATTTTTATACCAACTAAAAAAATGTCTTTAAAAAACTCCATGTATGCTAGTAAGGAGGCATACAAGGATATAAAGTTACTCATATGCCTGGAAAATGACAAAGTCTTACCCTTCAGAAAAATTAATAAAATTCATCCCCCCCCAAAAACAGTTTGTCGAGGAATGTCTCTTATACATGGTTCAATATTAACAGGCAATCAAGGATTAATTAGGGATAAGTCCTGGGGAACAGAAAGTTATTTCCAAACGAAACAACACTATTTCTAAATTTCACTTGGCACCAGGGCAACAGAACCATCTGTGTGAAAACACAAGAGCACAGACCTCTCAGCAGTGTTTTCAGAAGGAAAACTGTTTGGAGGATGGGAGACAAGCAGTGAGGGCTCCCAAAGCATAATCTTTTCCAGGACTCAAGCTTTAAATAGTTCCAGTTCCCCAGTTCCCCTCCCATTCCCCCCTGGAGAATGAGTCACTCCTACCCAGCCCTCTAAAATTAGTGTGTGGGAAAGGAACCTGAGTCTGATGCTGGAACAAAAGATTTGAGTTACTCAGAGTGTCTTTGCCACTGACTTCAACGTCCTTGGCTGCTCCATCAGAGCCGTGAACAACAGCTTCAGGCTCCGCCGGCAGGCAGGCACCTTGCCCTTGCACTTGCGGCACAGACAGAACAGAGAAGGTGAAAGAGCTGTCACTAGCAATACCTGATGCTGGAAACAATTATTCCAAGGCCGCAGGCCCCTAACTCAGAGAGATGCAAGCCTTCCTACCGAGTTCACACCCACTTCTCAGTGCAGGACAGCAGGAAAAAACCAAATCGATCAAAAGCACATGTCCAGTAGTTATCAGGCAAAAACTATCGAGGAAAAACTCAAGATCGTTACTCTGGCAGCCATCTAACTTTTTCCAGCAGCCGACAAAAATGTCTACTGGGGACAACTTCCTACGAGCCCCCTCTTGTCTCACCCAAGACACCTGGATGGATGTGTGACATTCGATGAGAGAAAACACAGGAGTGTGGACTCACACACGTTTTAACTATATGTGTGAAACGCACTTTTGTACAGACAGGTAGGAGTGTGAGTGGTATGCTGGCGGAAATGCACAGGAAAAAAACACCCTCATACTGCTGGAGAGAAGGAAGAAATAAAATTTGCTTGTAGCTTTTCTACTTTGCTCCACAAAAGCTGGAAGAAGGCAGCACGAAGCAGTTTACTGACTACACTGCCACTGCTTCCTTATCAAGAACTGGCAGGGACAGACAGGTCATCACAGTGAGGACACAGCGAAACACCCGGGTGTGTGTTTGCCTTCCTCTCTTCTTGGAAGTCGGAGAAGAGTGTTCTGCTCTGGGGGGAAACTGGCGGGCAGGGACTGGTGGGAATAGAAAATAATAGCCCTATTGTATTTTTAAATATATTTTCTTGTCTTTAAAATACTAAAATAGCTTTAGCATGACATCATCTCACAGTGAGAAGAACCTGATATAAAAAGCTGTGGGCACTTCAGGGGTTTTACGAGACCCCCTGCGGGCCACAGGTAAAGGCAATCCCACTCCTTGGGCGGCACACCAGTGGCCGCCGTCACTGGCAACGGAGGACTCAACAAACTCTCTTTATCGATGTTTCCCCGGTGACTGAGCTATCTTGGAAAATACTGACATGCAAATCTACCTAGGACAGAATGTTCTGAGTCACAGCTCCACAAACTTCCCCACTGAAGTATCAGTCAAGGTGTAAGGGCCTACTGGAGCCCAAAGAAACTACTGCAAAGTATAAAATTTCCATGATGTCCTTTGTTGTATCCTAAAATTGCAGGTAAAAATTCCCTCCCAACGCATGAACACACACCATACACTCATCCCTTCACCAACAAGCTCCGAAACTGCCCAAAACCTTAAAGTAAACTGACGCCAGGAGACACCGCCCCCCCTTCTCCCGTGCCTCCCGGGCTCGGCACGGGCACACAGGCCATCACGCCCTCGCTGGGACTCGTTCCCACCCCGGTTTGAGAAACTCGGGTTTACGCGTTTCTGCTTTTGATGAATCTGGCTGGATTTAAAAAACTGACGTACATAAAAGTTTTATTTAAGAGTAACAGTCCTTGGATGGAGGCCTGTCTCGTTAATTTGGTATATCCACTCCCATTTAAAACCTCATCCTGAACCTTACAAACACACAGCCTATGTTTGACAAATCACTTATGTTACAATTTCATTTAGTTGAAAATTATCCTGAAATGAACCTTTTCCCAGTTGGACGCTTTCATAGGTTCAAAAGACAAGAACAAGCCTGAGCAAACTAACAGTGCAGCTTACACACACGGTGACGGTGTCCCATACTTCTTCTTTCCCCAAGTTCCGTATTTTCTGTCCTTGTTCAAAATACCAATAATGGACGATTTCATTTGGTCGTGTTCTTAGTGTTCCCTTTTATGAGAACTGACTACTGAAATGAACCACCAGCCTGAAAGTATCGCCAGAGGAGAAACCCCTCCTGCTCCCCCTCTCGCTAATGCATGTGGACAATGCACGTGCAGGCCAGTGCTGCTCAGGGCGGGCCCGCGCTAAGACAGGAGGCCGGGCCAGACTGGAATCATCACCAGACTGCTTTCCTCACACTGAAAGCCTTGCTCCAAAAAAGAAAATGTCAGCGGACCTAAACAATAAATACTGTACTTAGAGATGAAGTTGGTTTACATTTTGGGCGCAAGTTCTTGATCACACGGCAAACCGGTAACACAGTTCTCAGGCAGTCGGTCACAGACGACACTCCCAGCAGCGCTGGGGTCTGGAAGATGACTCAGCCACAGCCCGCGAGAGGAGATGCACGGCGGGCCTTCCCTTCGCGGCGGATGAATGCCGGCATATTACACACAGTACAATCTCTGAGAGTGAGGACCGTTTATGTATAGATTGTGTGGTGTTTCGTCTAAAGCACTTTATTTCATTTTATCCTTAATAAGCCCTATAAGCTAGACAAAGTGGCATTATTCCATATGCAGTTAAGGGAAAAAAAGGACCATCATGACCCCAAAGAATCTGGGCTCAGGTCACCTGGTTAATTTTAGGTGGCGTGGAATCTAGAACAGACCCCTTTATTTCCTAACCACTCATGAAAATGAGAAGTGAAAGGATCCTAACTCAGAAGCTCACCTTTAGTGATGCTGAGTGTGTTGTCACCACTTGCTACAAAGTCATAAAGTGCAACAAAGAGGTTAGGGTCGCTCTCAGTGGCTCCCAGCAAGTTCTCCTTGGAGCTCCACCTGATGGCCTCGTGCAGCGCCTGGGGCTCCACGTCGCACCCGTAGGGGCGGTGCAAGGCTTCTGGAAGACAGAAGGAGAGACAGGAATTCACAGTAAGCTCAACAGCTGGAAATGCACTCGAACTCAGTACACATGCCGTATTCTAGCCGCTGGCAGAGATGGACGGCTCCAGGGAGGAGCAAAACCATCGAGTTGTGAAATCATGAAGAATAAGCAAACGGCACTATCTCCTAAACGTAAGAGAAGACTACTTGTTGAAAATACACCAAGATAGAGATCACGTTTAATTGTGATTTATATTCACTGACCAAATCCAGAAATTAATAAGAAAAACATAGTTTTCTCAAAATGAAAAAAAAATCTCAAAAAGAATTGGCAATTTGTTTTATAAAAATACAAGATATTACATTGCGGTGGTGGTTTTAAGAGGGAACAGTTATGTTTTATACGTCTTCCCTAACTACCTTCCTTCCCTTACTTTGTATAAAAAAATTGTGGAAAAGATAACAGATTTTAAGAAATATACACATATTGTATAAATCCAGACCCTCCATTTACATGTAAAAATAGTGCATCTAGAAAAAAAACAAACCTAAAATTATCTGTTAAACAACAGATGTTTTGGTTTAATACAAAATGTTCTCGCCACTCCAAAATACCTTTGTTTACCACGCACTGTCTGTAAGAGCCTGCAATTGTCGTTCTAACGAAAAAAGTTCTATCCTATTTTGTTTTCCTAGGTGGCACGTTTTTGTAAAACATCAGTAATTTAATTGAAAGCTCTAGAGAATATCACTAACAATGGACACTGATTTAGTTTCTACCATGGGTAATGGTGGAAGCTTTATAAGACCTGCTCGCCTCCTCCAGGGTTCATGGGTGCCACGTTCAGTCGCACCACACAAACAGGTGGTTCCTGCACCACCTTCTCACAGCCCAGGTCAATCACACAAAAACGACACTGCTCTTCCAGCAGCAATTTTCTTAATCACTGGAATTGTTTCAGCAGCTACAGGCCACTAACTGCCTATGTGATATAACAACACTTTTCTAATTATGTTTCTTTCTCCGACTCATTTTTAATTTAAAATTGGTTTTACCACATTTGAAGAAGAAAAAGCCTTGAATCTGTGGTTTTACTTCTTTTCAAATCCATTCCCTCCTCTCCATCTCCGCAGCCAATGCCGTGGAGCAGTCCCCCATCACCTCTCACCTGGACTACTGCCTCCAGTCTTGTCTCCCTCAAATCCATCCTCCACACAGCTGGCAAAGTGATCTATTCAAAACAAAAATTCGACCATGTCACTCTTCTTACGACTCTTCGACAGTTCACCGTGGAGCTGGACTCTCTTTAACACGCCTTCAGGGGCTTTAGGACCGGGTCGCCCCTGCTTCCCCAGCGCCACCTCTCCCCACCCACACTCTCAACTTTACACACCAACACACCCCATGATGCTTCCTGCATCTGTGCCTTTGCTCACACTGTCCTGTCTGCATGGAATGTGGTCTCCTTCTGCCCCCTTCTGAGTTTTTTGACTGTTTGACTTCTCACTTTGTAGCACGCAGCTCCAACACAACCTGCCCTAAGAAGGAAGGAACCTCCTGGCCTCACAGGTTCCTCCTCCCGTTGCCCCCCAAAAGCATTACATTTGCTACATTCGCACCCTCTGTCTGTATCTTTATAATGTCCTCAGTGCATGCCTGTTTCCCAAACTTCACAATGTGCACTTTGGCATAAGAATGGTACCTTTCTGCTCTGGCTGGTGTGGCTCAGCGGACTGATCGCCAGCCTGCGAACCAGAGGGTCGTGGTTTGATTCGCAGTCAGGGCACAGGCCTGGGTTTTCGGGCCAAGTCCTCAGTAGGGGGCGCATGAGAGGCAACCACACATTGATGTCTCTCTCTCTCTCTTTCTCCCTCCCTTCCCCTCTGTCTAAAAATAAATAAAATCTTAAAGACAAAAAGAAAGAATGGTATCTTTTTTTCCAGCAAGGAGTTGTATATATTCAATAACTGTTGACTGAATGACCAAATTACACAAAAATATAAGTGGCAAGAAACAATGACATGTATTTTAATCCTAAAATAGCATTAACCAATGTTTAAAAATGGTTTTATAACTGTATACATGACATAGACAGTAATTCCTGCTGTGGGTTGCATCCATAATTCTCCTAACAGTTTTAGAATTTATTTCACTTCATCACATTCCTTCTCCTCTACAAAGAAACACAGCTTTAAAATTCCACAGCTAATTGTATTGTTTTACATTAAGAATATTACGACAAACCTAAAGATATGTCCAGATGTCCTGACAAGTTAATTTGAAAGGCAGAGTTACGGTGAGTGGGAACAGCTGTATCACACACTAAAATAACCAATTATGATTATAAAACAAAACACCATAGTATAAGAAACATCCTGGCCTCATGTACCATGTTTTTCTTTATTCTAATGAAAAATTATCTACTCTAGCAGGATTTCCACAGGGCTACAAAATGCCAGCCCTTTATTAACACGAAAAGAACTGTGAAAAGAAATACAAAGAATATTCATAATATTAGGTTCTACACTAAATATAATATATCGCACTAATGTTTCTTGCCAGTGAGGGTGGTAATATATCACAATGTTTTGTGATCATTACTCTGTTTAATGATTATCAAACAATTAAATTACATTTCCTTACGTAGGAGTCCCCTTGTTTGAAATTATAAAAGGAACAGAAACCAAGGGTAATTTAACTTTTGTACTATCAATGACCAAGTTAGAAATAGTAATCAAGCAGACACCAAAACCAGCTCTTAAGCCCTGTAAGGCCAAAAATAGCAAATGCCGTACATTTATATCTTACTCTGTGAAACCCAGTGTACTAAAATTTAAAGTTTACAAAACTAATAATTTTAGTGAGCATCTGTTCATTACTGGACATCTACCAGACACCAGCCTTATGCTGAGCTTCAAAATATAAACATTATAAAGCACTACTTGGATTTTCAATTAAAATAAAAACTACTCTTCTTCTTTCTCCCAAATATGTTTTTCCCACAGAATTCTTCACCTCAGTTAATGGCAATTTCATCTTTTTAGTTGCTCGAGCCAAAAACCTTGAAAGTTTGAGCACATACTTCTAGCTATAAGAAGTTCTAGGGATCTAATGTATAGCATAGTGATTATACTTAATAATACTGTACTGTATACTTGAAAGTTACGAAGAGAGTAGATCTTACCATTTTGCAATATGCAAGAGTATTAAATCAATACATCATAACCCTTAACCTTCCATAATCTTACATGTCAACGGCATCAATAAAGCTGGGGAAAAAAACCAAAAACCTTGGAATCGTCCATGACTCCTTTTCTGCTCTCACATGTCACATCCAATTCGTCAGGAAATTCTACTGGCGCTGCCTTCCACATCAGTATTCGGGATCTATTCCCTTCTCGCCCCCTCCATCATTACCGCCCTGTCGCCATGGTCATCCCTCTCCCAGGTTATTTCACTAGAATCCTCACTGAGCTCCATGCTTCTGTCCAGACATGCTCTCTACTGTCTAGTCTCACTAAGACGCCAGCCAGTTTCTAAAGCGTAAGTCAGAGTGTGTTGCTCCTAGGCACAAACCCAGCTCACAGACGGCTCCCCGTATCTTAGAGTCAAAGCTCAAGTCCTGACAAGGGCCTGCAAGGTGGCACCCCTCCCCTGCCTCAGGACCTGTGTACTGGCTCCGCCTGCTGCCTACACCATTCTTCCCCGAGACGTCCCCGTGATGCTTCTCGCAAACGTAACCCTCTCGGCGAGGCGTTCTCTGACTGCCCTATTTTAAAACACATCTATTCCTGGCAACATTCCCGTGTCCTCCACGTCTCCCTTCCCGATGTGTTTCCCCCCACAGCTCTTACTACCACAAAAATACAATTCACTTACTTAGTATTATATTCATGTGTACTCATCGCACTCCCCAATCAGAACATCAGTTTCACGAGAACAGGGGTTTCTGCCTGCTTTGTTCACTGGCCAACTGCAAGCACCAAGAGCAGTGCATGTGTACAGGAGGCTCTCAAAAAAGATGTGTTGAGTAGATGCTCCATGCACTCAGAGGATGCTGAAGGGACAGACCAGAGCACAGAGTTGGGAAGGCAGAAGAGACAAAGCATCTAAACTGCATGAGCAGGGTTCTGCCCTGATGACAGAAGAGTGACAGGCTGTCAACGTGCAAGACACGTCTATGCCGCACGGTTCATCTGCACTGAAGGGGAACTCCATCAAGCTCCAAGGAGGATCGGTAAAGGCAAGTCAGTCTCTTAACAGCCACGTTATTTGACAAAAGGAAAAAAAAAAAAAGAACAAGAAGAACAAGACCTGCAACATAATTTTATGTAAACTTAAAAAACATTCAGGGTGGGCAAAAGTAGGGTTAGAGTCATGAGTACGTGAAACAGAGTTTATTCTTGTATTATTTATTAATTATTGAGTTATTGTCCTTATGAACTATAAACCTACTTTTGCCCACCCCATATTCAGACTAAACGATACTGTTACATTTCTCAAATACACAATATAATAAATACAGGATAGGATAAAAGTAATTTTTGAAGCCAAAGTACTAAAGAATCACTACTCGAAAAACAATCTTTTTCATTCTCTACTCTTCACCCCATCTCTGGCTTTATGACTTTTTTGGTCAAGTCAAAAGACCTTCCTTCCTTCTTTCCTTCCTTCCTTCCTTTCTTCTTTCTTCCCACCCAGCCTTTTGTTCTCAGAGGACCGGGGTCAGCCTCTGTACAGCCCGTCTGCACAGGATATCCCCTGAAACGCATCCCACCAGGAGCACAAAACAAAGGGAGAACTTTTCAAAGACAGAAAACATCCTAATATTTCCCTCAGGCGAAGAATGAACACGTATTAAATCATAGAGCACTAAAAAACTAATGAAGAGAACAAGCTAAGAAATAAAGGCAAAAAAGACAAAAAAAATCCCATAAGAAAAGCAAGTAAACGCCCCGTTGTTACCCAGTGGGCCCCGCCTGCGCCACTTCCTCCTCCGCGGTGCACAGCAGGAACGTCTGCACGACTTGGACGGACGGACTGAGCCCGCCCAAGTGCAAGTGAGCCGGCTGGGAATGTTCTCAGCAACAACGTGGAGTGACTACTACACATTAGGTAAATTAGGTAGCAAGTTAGTCTTCTACTAATCATGGTTACAGATGTAGATCACAGACTCATGAGGAAACAACAGAAGATTCTGAATCTCATTTAGGGAAAACAGGACCCAGGTGGCAGAAATACATTATGACTACTAAGAAAGGTAGTTTTTACTTTTTTCTACTGATATAGTTGCAGGAAACAATAAAAATAAGGCTAAACACAGAATTAGAAACTTGTACAAAGTAAATTATCAGTATTAAATTAAAATCCAGACTAAAATTCAAACTCAAATTTAGAGATAATTCCTAAATGTAATGTTTAACTGTATTAAAAACACCTTTCACCAATTAGTCATTCAATAACTTTGATTGGTTTACTTAAAAATCTGTCATGTAGGGATTGGAAAAATTAATGTACAAACTTCCAAGTATAAACGCCTATCTTGCCAGAAGTCTGCTTTCCCTGACTGCGTGCTCTCTAAAAGGCTAACACTTTTTAATACCTCTTTTAAAAAACTATTTAAGGTGGTTGGATAAATCATTCAATAGTTCTCAAAATACAGTTCAAATTCTTTATATCAACTCATGTATATCTTAACACCACAAAACATTACGTATTATTCATTCATCCTTTCTTTGTAAGTACCGAGGTCCTGCTGTAACTGACACACCGGGAAACACAGCACACACAGTGTCACTGGCCATGAACGAAGACGATGATGGCAATACACGAGATGACTTTCTTGACATCTCCATTCATGCTTGATTTCTGCGCTTGTCCACCCTCCCCCAGACTGCCAGCCCCGAGTCCTACCTGTTACGTTGGGCAGAGCAGTTCCTGGGGCCTCAGTGCGCGGGCAGCAGAGTGAAGTGCCCGGACCTCGGCCATAACGGCCAGCTGGAAGCAGAACTGTCCCCAGGACCATCCCTCCGCCCAGAAGCACAGAGCTCACACTGCCCTGTGACGAGGCAGTCTCGGCATTCCACTCTGACGAGCAGCACCAAGTGCCTGGGACACTGACTCATGTGTGGGGTGGCCCGGGAACCAACGGGGAGGAAGAATGTACAAGTGCCAAGTGGGAGGAGGGTGGCCTGAAAGCAACTGTCTAGTAACTAGGAAAAGATTGAGTCA